AACAGCTGCTGCATGCGCTGCAAACATCGACAAAGATGATAACAACCCCTTCCTCGAGGGAATACACCCTGACCATTGGGAAGAGGCTTACTTGGTGCATAGAGAAGGTCGCCAGTACATTCCCCCACAAGAACAGACTAGACCTGTTCATCATGTGACAGCTACCGTCCAGATTCCCCCGAGAAATGCTACTCAAGGCACAAACGGCAACCGCCAGCAATGCAGACGAGCGCAACGCAAACGGAAGACGACCAAAGCAGCAATTAAATTAGGCAATGGGAATGTGAACCTGTAAGGGCAACCCTGGAGACTCCGACGAAAGCCTAGCAGGGGAGGATCCAAAGTGTGAATAAAAGCTACAGGAAATACACGGAGGGACCGACCTAGCAGGGGAGGATCCAAAGAGAAGAAACTCTAAGGGTCCGCCTGCTAGGGCGCCAACTATATACTGGTCGTCCGTAACTGCCGACGTAGAGCGCAGAAGGCCTGAGCGGCGTCGCAGGCTCTGTCCCAAGGTGATCGTTGGGAGGGTCTTGACGGATCGGTGATTGTGCGGGCGAAGGAGGCCGTGGACGATGGTCGGGGTGGGTCGGAGCGTCCGAGGGGGCGCCGGTCGGATGCCCCTCGGATGCGTTTGGAGGGTCCGAAGGAGGCCGAAGCGGGGGTTCCCCTGACAGAACCCGCAACATGATAATAGCAAGTGGCCGGAAGCCTAGCAGATTTTGTCCGAGAGGGTAAATATGGAGTTATGGTAGTAACGGAAGCGCACCTGAATGATGAACAGAAGAGCTGCATCGACACACTCTTTGGACATGCCATGCGAGTGGAATTCACGCAAGACCCAACAACCCCAAATGCGAAGGGGGTGACATTTATACTGAATAAGTTTCTGGTCCTAACCAATAAGATCACCAGGCACGAGATTGTGCTGGGTAGAGCTCTCCTGTTGGAAATGAGACATGGAGACGGCTCCCCACTATTAATCTTGGGGGTATACATACCGAACAACGCAATGGAGAATGCAGAATTTTGGAGATACATCAAGGACTGGTTCCAAGAACGGCCCCATATAAGACAACCGGATGCTGTCGGGGGCGACTTCAACATGGTAGAATCTGCCATCAACAGATTACCTGTCCACCCCGACCCGAAGCGAGTCGTCAATGCTATGGACAAGATGAAAACCAGCCTCAACCTGGTAGACGCGTGGCATCAGGACCACCCGATAACTAAACAATACACCTACTTTCAGTCTGCCGAACAAGGCGGTTCGAGATCAAGAATTGATAGGTGGCTGGTGAAACAAAGCATAGAAGACGACCTTGGACAAAGTCTGCAACACCACTCAGGCCTTCTGCACTCTATGTCGGCAGCTATGGACCACTATTATCACCCCCAGTATAAAGTCGGCATCCTAGCAGGCGGACCCTTAGAGTTTCTTCTCCTTGGATCCTCCCCTGCTAGGTCGGTCCCTCTATGTATTTCCCATAGCCTTTATTCAAACTTTGGATCCTCTCCTGCTAGGACTCTCGTTGGACCCTCCAGGATTGAGATGAGCACAGTTATGAATACAGTAACTACAGATAAACGGTAATACACGGAGGAAATGAGCTAGGTAGCTAAATATCAAATCTAACCAACTAAATCAAATCCAAAATATGTGTGTATTTGTCACTTGTGTTCAGGGTTCAAGCCGCAGGAAACGACTACTTAACTGATTCAGATGTGCTACTGGTGGTACTTAAATATTGAATGTTGTGATTAAAGAGAACTTTCAAGGATGAACAAAGAACAACAAAAGGGTTGAAGTTTGTTGAGGGTTTTAGTAGAAGAGTACCAATACTCAACTACCAGGTAAGCAAAATGACTGTTACTGTAGCCAATCTACTTGGGGCTTACTATGGTTGTGCCTTAGTATGCACAGGTTTACTAAGATGTGCCTTACTATGCACTGTAAGGGCAACCCCGGAGGCCTGAGATCAAGGCCTAGCAGGGGAGGATCCAAAAAAAAGAAACTCTAAGGGTCTGCCTGCTAGGGAGCTGACTATATACTGCTTGTCCGTAGCTGCCGCTGTCGGGCACAGAAGGCTTGGGCGGCGTCGCAGGCAAGGTCCCAGGGCGACCGTTGGGAGGGCGTTGACAGATTGGTGATTGTGCGGGCGAGATGGAGGGTCGGACCGGAATCGGAACCGGAATCAGAATCGGAGACGTCTCCGAGGGGCTGAAAGGGAGGTTCCCCTGACATGCACGGGGTTTACTATGGCTGTGTCTTACTATACACAAATTCACTGGTTGTGCCTTACTATGCACAAATTCACTATAACTGTGTCTTACTATACACAGGATTGCTGAAGGTTGGTAACCTCAGCAAAACCACTAATGTGACACCACTGCCACAATTAACAGTCTTCTGAGATAAATCACTGTTTAAGGTTGATACCCACAGCAAAACTAGCTAGTGTGACATTAGTAGCGTCACAACTAGTAGTTTCCTGGGGTGTTCACCATTATTCTATCTACTACAAATGAGCTCCTTATATACTGTTCAGAAAAATAACTAATGATGTGACAATTAAACCAATGATGTGACAAAGAAGCACTATGACTCATTTTGAGTCAGTATGACTCATTTTGAGTCATTGTGGCTGTGCATTCTAGAATATTCTGAACAATCAATCTTCTATATTGAGATGTTCTATACCACAATTAGAGTTTATTCCCGCAGTTTACCGTTGTTCTGGTTTAGACCAAGGCCGGAGTTCTGTGGCTGTGCTACTAGAGCGGTCCAGAACTGGTGTTCCTGGCCTTTCTAGGTGTTTCTAGGTCCCTAGACATGCCTAGACAAGTATAATAATAGAATGAGTCTTCTGGAAAGTATAGAATATTCCCAAGTATTTGGAGCATTAAAAATAAATTATTTAGCCCCTCTGATCAGTTTCTAGATATACTCCATTTCCAAGCTCATCAACGGGCACCACTTCATCTCTCTCCCCTAGTCAGCAAGCTGCATGCTCACAACATATGCAAAAAACTCTGTCGCAGATATCCAGAGCGGCCTGTTCAACGCAGGCGCAGCAATGTTTGTTGCATATGTTGCTGGTCTTTTTGGCAGGGGCCCTAATTCATGGTCCTACCACCACAAGTAGAAAAGAAAAGTTCTGATGTGGGCCATGTACTTGTCATGGGAGCAGGGTGCTTACTGTGCATATACCAGGGGCATATCCAGATATACTTTACAATTACAATGAACCTTTATCATTACATCACTTTGGGGACCATATACCAGCTACAGAAGCTATATATCACACTGTATATTGAGTGAACACTGCACAGCCGCCCACATGCAGCAGCAGCATATACACCAGCTGCTGTGCTAAAAGAAGGCTGCATTTATACCCACTACAGGACTACATGTTCATAGATCATGGTATGCATGGGTGGACTGGCGCCCGTTCGAGCCGGGTGCAGCTGGTGGCCCGATTTGTTAATTCTGTACAGTTTTTGCTGCAGCGGTGGGGCTGGCTCTTTTTGTTTGGAGGGGGATGAGGATGATGGTGGTGCAGGGAACTGGATTAATATTTGTGGATGCATCAGAAGGGCTGCTGACTAGGACAGATACACAACCACTTCATCAGTCAGCTACTCGGCCTTGGTAGCAAGCTGCATGCTTACAACATTTGCGATGTACCATGTACCAGAGATCCTGAGCAGCCTGTTCGACACAGGCGCAGCACCTTCGGTCTTTGCGCATTCTTTTTGGTGTACAGAAATTATATGATACACACAGCCACCCACAGGCGGGAGCAGCATATAGACCAGCTGCTGTGCTGGAACTAGGCTGCATTCAACACCTGCTATATGTTCGTAAATGATGGTTTGCATGGGTGTACTGGTGTCTGTTCGAGCCGGGTGCAGCTGGTGGTTTCAATGGCAAGGCTCTACTTTTTGCCAGTGTGGCAGGGCTGGCTCTCTTTTTTCATTTTTTTTTTGAGCGGGAGGGGGATGGTGGTGGTGGTGGTGGTGCAGAGAACTGTATTCAATATCTGTGGATGTATCGGATGGCGTAGTGGCTACAGATAAACAAGCTCCACTCCCTTTATGGCCTGCGGCACTGGCAGGCCAGCAAGCTGCACGCTCACAACATACGCTATAAAATCGGTGGTAGATATCCAGAGCGGCCCGTTCGACGCGGGCGCAGCTGCGTGAATTCTCTTTGATTGTCATTTTGGCTTGCTGCCCGCCGATCCCCGTGCGCGGTCCTACGCACCACTTCACCCTGGGCGCCGCGAACCCAGCCAGAACGCAGCTGCGTTTACGCATATCTCCGTCCATTCGTCTTTTTGGCTTCGAATTCGAAGGCAGCGTGGGCGGCCGCCGATCCCGGGGCCAGGGGCCGACGTCCACCGGCAGCGGGTGTTGCGTCATCGCACCCGTCGCGAACGTTACATAAGGCGTTGCCATGGCCGTGGCCCGGCCATCTCGCCCAGGCATCGCGCCATCGCGACGGGAAACGGGCAGCGTCAGGGGGCTGGAGCCCCCGTCGTTACGGGTGGAGCCGCGAGCGGAGTTAGTGCGTGGCGACGGACACGTGCACGTGCCCGCGAGGCGACGCCGGCGAGCGCGACGAGGGGTGGCCTGGTGGGTGTGCGTACGCGGGGCCGCTCGCCGTCGCCGCGGGACGAGAGTGGGCTGCGCAGGACGACGGACCACGAGTGCCAAGGATACACGGGCCCCGGATCGCCGCACGACGCGTTTCGCGTGCGCCCGTTGACGACGGCCCAATATCGCCGCACAGCCCTGCTCCACCATCAGCAGATTGCATCACGTCGCACGCCTTCTATTGCATCACCTTCCTGGATTCGGTTCGCACACGCCGCCGGGCAGCGACGTATATCAGCGGGCCCACCATCACTCGAAGGCGTTCCCTTCCTTCCCTTCCCTTTCCCTCCCTTTGCCCCCGGCGGGTTTTTTCCACTTCCTTCGCACTACTTTCTTTTCGTTCTGTTCGTTTTCGCTGCGCCCGGCCGCCCTTTCCCCTCTTTCCCCACGAAGACCCACCGAATACACTCACTATGCGTATCCCCGTCGCCACCCTCGTCGTCGCGCTCGCCGCCGCGCAGACGCTCGCCGCCCCGATCGAGTTCCGCCGGGACGATGGATCTGTGCGTACCCTTCCCCCTCCCCTTCCCTCTGCCCCATTCCCCCCCCTTCCCGGTAGAGCAGCTTGCTAAGCCCGTGCAGGACCTCGCGGTGCGCGCCGCGAAGAAGGCCGCCGTGAAGAAGCCCGCGCCGAAGCCGCTCGCCGCGAAGCCCAAGGCCGCGGCCAAGAAGCCCGCCGCGAAGCCCGCCGCGCCCAAACCGGCGGCACCGAAACCCGTGCGTCCCTTTCCTAACGTGTTGCTTCTATGGCGGTGCTGATATGAGGATACGCAGGCCGCGCCGAAGCCTGCTGCGCCAGCCCCGCCGAAGGCCGACGACAAAGCTGCTGCTGACAAGAAGGCCGCCGACGACAAGAAGAAGGCGGACGACAAGAAAGCGGCTGATGATAAGGCGGCCGCGGACAAGAAGGCCGCGGACGAGAAGGCCGCCGCTGAGAAGAAGCCCGACGACAAGGCCGCGGCGGACAAGAAAGCTGCTGACGACAAGGCTGCGGCGGATAAGAAGGCGGCGGACGAGAAGAAGGCGGCGGACGACAAGAAGGCTGCTGACGACAAGGCGGCGGCGGACAAGAAGGCCGCTGACGACAAGAAGGCGGCGGACGACAAGGCTGCTGCTGACAAAAAGGCCGCTGACGAGAAGAAGGCCGCAGACGACAAGGCCGCCGCCGACAAGAAGGCCGCCGACGAGGGTGCGCCTTCCCCCCTCCCCCTTCCCTCCTTACTAACCCACCCGCAGCCAAAGCCAAGGACGCCGCTGCGCCCCCACCCCCGCCCAGCACCGGGACCGGCATCGGCGCGGGCATCGGGCAGGGCATCGCGAACGGCGTCGCGGCGGGCGTCGGCGCGGGCATCGCGAACGGCATCGCCGGCATCGGCGCCGGTACTGGCGCGGGCGTCGTGGACCCCACTGCCGCGGGCCCGGGCGTCATCGACCCCGTCACGGGCGCCGTCGTGGACCCTGTGACCGGCGCCCCGATCGACCCTGTTACGGGCGCGCCGCTCGACCCCGCTGCGGACCCCGCCGCAGATCCCGCCGCGGACCCGGCGGCGGTCGAGGGTGATGTCGCTGCGGGTGATGCCGCAGCCGCTGGTGACGCCGCCGCTGCAGAGGGCGATGCTGCCGCCGCCGAAGGTGACGCCGCTCTCGAGGGCGACGTTGCCGAGGGCAACGCCACGGCGCCCGAGTCGATCGACGACCCCAACGCGATCAACAACGCCGCCGCGGGCGCCGCCGCCACCGAGGGCGACGCCGCTGCTGCTGAGGGCGACGCCGCCGCTGAGGGCGAGGGCGAGGTCGTCGACGAGACCGGCGAGGGCGCGGCTGTCGATGAGACCGGCGAGGCTGTCAAGGGCGAGGGCGAAGGCGAGGTCGTTGACGAGACCGGCGACGCCGCCGCTGCCGACCCCGCTGCCGACCCTGCTAACGCTGCCGCTGCACCCCCGCCACCGCCACCTGCGTCGTCGAGCGCCGCACCCGCCGCCGCCAGCGCCGCCCCGCCACCACCGCCCCCACCCGCTGCTGAGCCGCCGAAGGCTGCTGAGCCGCCGAAGGCTGCCGAGCCGCCGAAGGCCGAGCCCCCGAAGGAGGAGCCGAAGAAGGAGGAGGGCATCCTCGACAAGATCAAGAACACGGTCAAGGGCCTCCTCGGGCTGTCGTAGAGCGTGTGTAGTTTCTTTCGCTGTAGAGAGGAGGGATGGATGAGCACGAACGGAGGGATGTAGTATTGGTAGTTGAAAGAAAGTATGTGGAGGATGCAATGCATGCAATGCAATGAAAGTGCGCGTTTGTGGAATGACCAGCAAGTGAGCTCGCAATCAAGTAAGATCACAATCAAGTAAGTTCGCAGCGGGCGGGTGTGCATCCGGAAGTCAACATCTGCTTTTAGTATTGCCCCCGGCGCAGCGTCGCCGGGCGCCGAACAATGCCACTACAGCGGGGGTTTGGCGCCGTCTGGATCCGGACTGCCGTTATTGCACGATGGGATTGTGAACCCCCCCTAAGGTGGCAGATAGTGCAGGATGCAATGCCATGGAAGTGCGCTTCGGCGTTTGCGGAATCACCAGCACGCGGAACTGGACCGCACGCCCTGCGTTCGCGGCGCGGGCGGCGTGCGTGCGCTGGCGGGATGACTAGAAACACGTTTTTGTTGTGTCGTGCGCGCGGTGCGCTCCCAATGCGGAGGATGCGATGCATGCAATGGAAGCGCGCGTTTGGATCACCATCTCGTGAGGTGAGGTCGCACGGTTCTGGGTTCGCCCCGTCCCGCACCTATTTGGAAGAAGTACAGATGTCTGTTTTTCGCGGTGCTCCTGGTGCTAGCACCCAAACACCATCGGCGGCGATGTAGCACCCTCGGCGTCGATGTCCCCTCCGCCGAACAATCCAGCCACCAGCGGGGGGTGCCTCCCTGAGCGCGTCGGTCGCAATCATCGCACCGCCGTGCATGTGCCGTTCGCAGCGGGCGTGCGCGCGTAGGGAAGGTACAGAAACCAGTCGGACTGCCTTCATTTTTCCGCGGAAGCGCGCGTCATGTGTGGAATCACGGGGGTGTCGAGATGCTTATCACGTACACGTACATAGGGTAGTCCCAGGGAGGGTCAAAAAAAAACTTTTGCTATGTAAAAGTTTTGGGAGGTTCTGGTAGGTTTGAGGTTGGCTTTGCACCACATTTGTAGTATTTTAGCATGGAATATAAAGTGGATATATAGAATGCCTACTACCTTCCTCTGGGAAGGCTGTGAACACCTTACTTGGGGTGCAGTGTGACTGTTGTCATGAATTTATCATTGCTTATTGATTATATATAGCCTTGGATGGCCTCCTTGGAACTCTGTGAGGGCTCCAGTCCCATACATCAACCATAAGCAACATTATTTTGATGAATTTGACTAGAAATACGAATTCTATCACCACTTTTGATGGCATCATCAAATCACATGATGAGTGGCGGCCGCTCAGCCTGTTGATGGGCTTTCATTGCCTGTCGCAGACTCGCAGGCCAATCCGCTGGGGTCGGAGTCGAAGACAATGTCAGAGAGGCCTAGTCACTTTGATTTTAGCGGTAGTTAATGGACATCCGCCGATTGCACGGTGGAGCATACCCATGCCGTGTTGCCAGTGCTCGCCGCACGAGGCACATGTCGAATAATCCAAACACTTACTATTGCTTCTCCTTGCCTTCTCGTGCGCGTGTCCGCCACGAAGGGTGCAATCACCCCGTGTGCATGCATGTGCCTGTGCCCGTTCGCAGCGGGCCTCCGCACGTAGGGAAAAGATGTCGCGTTGTGTTTTTGTCCACACCCTCTTCATGTTGTGGCACACTTGGTGGTACATGGGTGCATAAGCAGCATGCATTCTGAGCCGTGGGTTCAGCAATTAGCATCAAGTGGGATTACTCGCTCGAGGGCCACTCCTCCGCGGCCGCATTCGCAGCATGGGTGGGTGTTAAATTTGTTGTATTCTTGGACATGTCTGTTTTTTTAAAATTGCTCTGGATAAAATCATCAGGGAAACTATCAGGGGCTAGTAGTTTGATTGAGGTGAGCGTGAAATTGGGAGGTGAGCATAAAATCCACACACACAGATATATATATTGATATTTATATATATCCTTCCCCTGCACCGACTGTGGGGAGGGAGACTCAGGGAGTCAACCGGATGACCTGGTGCCCATCCATGGCCACTCACCGGCTGTGGTCTAGCTCTCTGTTCATGATTGCTGGTGCACATACCCTGGGTTCGCCCCGCGGGTGTGTATTGCGGTGGGATCAGATTCTATGAACTGTTCTTTTTTTCACCCTACTGTGATATTTGATTATTATTCTCCCTGGTCAACTCAGCTGATTTAGCTATAAGACTTGCAGGAACAATTACTATTCTAGGTACAAGGGAAGGGCAGCTAAGGAATTCAAGTGGGCTGTGCTGGGTCTGTGTCACAACTGCATCCTGTGAGGGTAGCCCCCTAGGCCTAAGCAGTTGGCAGTCTCTGCTCCAGATCTGCCTGCCCTGAGCTGCACACCCTCTGTTTGCAGCATGGGCATGCACTGTATCACCAATGCATCTTCTATTTTTGCTGCTATAACAAGCCGGTGCTGCTCCTGTGGTTTATATATCATAGTATAAGTAATTAATATAGCATGGTTTGCAGTACAAATGATCACTGAAAAATTTGAAGAGTGCAGCAGTACATCAGCTGGGAGTTCCAGCTGGCGCTGGCTGAGTTACTATCTGACAGCAGCTGTATGTCATCGGAACACCAGCTGTGCAAACCAACTGATGAAAACAACCCAACAATAGGACAATCATAGCGCAGCAAATGTAATGCTGGAACTCAGTCATCAAATTGCTATGCTTCCGCAGATCAGCGCCCTGGGACTTTGCTCTCACCCCACCTTCAAGTCCTCCTCCAGCCTTCCTCAATGCCTCAAACCCTCATGAAAACCTCAAACCCTCCTGCTCTTCAAATTCATGTCCATTCAAGCCCCCAGGTTGCCTCCTCAAGTCTCTTCAAGTCCTTTTCAAGTGCTCTTAAGTATATTCTCTCTTTCCCCCGGCTGGCTCTCCCCCTTCCACTTGCCTGACATCCCTCCCCTTCATTTTGCGTCCATCACTGAGCCTGCCGCTCCCTCCATACCCGCCTGTTGGCTGCCGCATTGCCCAGAATGGGCAGAATATTGTCCCGCCCACCTGTCAGGGGAACCCCCCCCTTTTGGCCCCTTGGACACGTCTCCAATTCCGGTCCGATTCCGTTTCCGACTCCGGTCCGGCCCCCCATCTCGCCCGCACAATCACCAATCCGTCAACACCCTCCCAATGGTCGCCCTGGGACCTTGCCTGCGATGCCGCCCAAGCCTTCTGTGCCCGACAGTGGCAGCTACGGACAAGCAGTATATAGTCAGCTCCCTAGCAGGCGGATCCTTAGAGTTTCTTCTCTTTGGATCCTCCCCTGCTAGGTCAGCTTCGTTTGTATTTGCTTACCATTGTTCATGCTTTGGATCCTCCCCTGCTAAGACCTTGATCTCAGGCCTCCAGGGTTGCCGTTACACCGCTGTCCTCTCCGCTTACACCACCTCCTCCTTCACCAAAACAATTGCAGCCTGTTAAGTAACGGAAGCATAAGCCAGCAAACAATGTGGTGCTACCTGCCCCAGCAACAAAATGCCAATGTCCGAGTTGCGGAGCAGCTGCGGCTGACAACATAAAGGTTCCTAGTGGCAATATTCCTTACGCAAAACACCTCTGTTATTTTGTGCCCCAAGGTAAGGCCTTGCCGCCAGGCTATAGTTGGAACGATGAATATAAGAAACTCTATAGGGGATCAACCGGACAAGATTGCTAGGTTCGGCGCTGACTCAGGCTCGGAGTACGAGTACGTTCCACCCTTGTCACCGCCCCTACCACTTGTCCCCTCCTCCTCTGTCACTCCTGTCGTCCCCAGTCCTGTCATGTCTTCTGAAGCTGCTACGGATGCTGGCACTTGGCTGGATGCACTCGAGGCGAAAATCGACCACCCAACTGAGGCCTTTACTCTTCTCACCACCCAGGCTTCCGCTGCCGCTGCCGCCGCTAATACTGCTGGCAGACACCAAACACCACCACCACCGGAGACGTCGACTCCGACTCCGACTCCGGTCAGGACATGCACCCAATTTTGCGAGCAAAACCTGGGCCACTGCCCACCGTGCGTTGCGTGCAAAAACTGGTATGGCAGGATTGTGACATCCTCTGTGACAATTGATATATTTTGTATATCTTTTTGAAGTTGAAAGATATGACTAATCTAACTACATAAATAAATTAAGGAATCACCATTTTTTCAGGCCAAAGACCCGGATAAACATCAGGGTGGCTATGTGACCCATAAAAGGGATATTGATTGAAATAACGGTCAAATTGATGGTTCATCATATAATAGATATAATTATTGATCTCCATCAAAAATCGTTCCACATTGGTCAATTTATCTTGATGCCATCAGCAGACATTAGATAACCTACCAAAACAATGAAATACTAATAAAATAATCTTTTTGTTTAATGTGACACGAGTGACAAAATGACCTCCATGCTTTGTCATGGGCAACTGCCCAATTTTGCGTGCAACAGCGGTGGGCAACTACCCAGGTTTTGCGAGCAAATCTGAGTGAATGGGCTGCTCCGGTCCAGGGCGACTCCGAGGCCCTCTTTGGCGATATCAACCTCAACTCAAAATTGGTCTTGCGACCAAACCCCCCGTTCACCTTTAACGGCGATCGGAAACACGGCCGCGCATTTCTCTACGCGGTCCGCACCTATGTCCGCCTTGCCCCTGAGGCCTTCGTGGTCAACGGAGAGGCGAGCGAAGAAAAAGGCCATCCGCTATGCCATGTTGTTTATAACAAAAGAACCTGCTCAGCAATGGGCGGAGCGCCACAGAAGCAAAGCCCCATTTAAGCTTTCTATTCCTACTTATAGTATAAACATAAATTAGGGCTATTGCTAAAAAGATGAGCAAAGGACACAGTGTTCAGAAAAAGTCAGGCATAGTTAGTAGTAGCTAGTAGGGTAACTAGGTTCTTTTTTAAGTCCTCAACCCTATCTACTACTACCAGATTTGATAAAATCTCATAAAAGAGTAATACCTCGGAAGGTAGAAAAGGACCTGATAAACTATTAAGCAGGATTCTTAGGCAGGGGGTAGGTTCTATAGGTTATTTACACTTTTAAAAGAAACAGCAGTTTTCTAAACATTAATAGATTAGTTAAAACATAGCCTCCCTAGGTTAAACTTACCTTGCTTTGCAGAGAGATTTACTTCTAAGAGGAGACCTAATAAATATAATTAAGACAGTTTCTCAGTTTTTTTTGACTTGTTAGCAGCCAAGATATGCTACTTCTAGATAATCTGATAATACTGCTCCAGAAGTGAGACCTAGACCTATTTAAAGAGGATACTGCACCTGAACAAAAGCACAAGATATAGTTGCATAAGTTAGTTAGAATTTTGCATTGTAAGCAGAACAGTGTTTGTCTAACTAGTTTATACCTTTTGCAGTAAGTTGCATTAAGAATTTTTATTTATTAGTGGGGAAGGGAGAAGTTAGACAAACAACCAGTTCCTTTAAAACAAACAACTAGTTCCTCTAAAGCTGCAAAGTTACACTAAGTAGTAACAGCTATCAATGTCACAAGCAGATATAAGACCCCTGTAAATAGTAAATTCGATTGTTGTCTTTCTATAACTTACCAATCTGCATATTTTAAAGAAGTTTCTTCTTAAAATTAAAGATCTTAGGGCAGACCAGACTGTTAAAATTAGAGATCTTGAATAAGATAGGAAATGGTTTTCCATATGGTGATAAGGTCTTATAAGGTAATTTTAGAAGGTAACAGAAGGAAAGCAAGAAAGGAGCAAGCCAATCTAACTCTACTTAACTAGTTTTTAAGCTTAGATACATCATTTCTTGCTAGTAGATCTCTAGACATAACAGAGAATGTGTCAGGAACAGGGCCGGCCCGGGCCCACGTGATGGTCTCCTGCCAGTCTGACAAGTGTGGGAAAGATGGTTCAACCCCCGTATCTGGGTAGTCAACAATCAGGCAGCGTAGATGGTGCCACTGCTGCAATAGAGAGCAGGGTAGGGACAACTCGGGGCAACTTGAGACACCCCCGCTGTCACGTTGTGTGACAGCGGTGTCACAGGATACGAGTAGTCGCCTAGAGTGTCCTACCCCTGCTGAAGGGAATGAGTCCATAGCTAAAGAGTGCTGCCTAGTAGAGTTGGTGCCCAAGACATAGGGCAAGGCATAGGCTGGGCCAGTTTAACAAGCCGTTTGGGCGGGGCGTGACGTGACGCGGTCACGCCCGATGGTCGAGGGGGTCGAGGGGAGCAGCCCCGCAACAGGGGCTGCGGGCCCGACACCCCTGAGGGGTTTAAAGAGGGTTGCCAGTCTAAGGGGTGACATATCTCCTTTCCTGGAGAAACGGGTCGCTGTGGCTCCTAGACACCGCGTGACGGCGCGGTGTGACGCGTGACATGCGGGCCCGATCGGGCCCGGACCCTCCCATCGCCCCGTACCAGGGGAACCCCGAGCTTGAGGCCAGAGAGCAAGAAGAAGTGGCTAGGACAAGGGTGAACATAAGAGACAAGAGCCTGGGCTGTCCAGCCCAACCAAGGGCTCAGGTCAATAAGGCAAGCTAACCTGGAGCGTTGGAAGTCGTCTAGACACCCCTTTCCTGGGGTATAATCGCAGCAACCCCGCTCTAGAGGACCAGGCCGGAGTAGGGTTCAAAGAAAGAGACTTCAATGCTAAACCTAAGGTACAGGAGTAATACTCTAGTCTTTATATACGGTGGGCGCTAGGGGCCGATCGGGCCCGCTGAGGGTCGATCAGAATGGAGCAGGGGATGCCTCTGGTCGTCCCTGGTTGCTCCGCTAGGAGCCCAGGGACCATTCCTCTAGAAAGGAGCCATGCTAAAGTCGACACTAAGGAGTGTTTGACAATGCAACAGTAAGGAGCTCCCTCCTGGGCCCTGTGGTTGTCTAGGGCCGATTGGGCCCGCTGTCAAGGGCGTCCGGCGGCGCATCATGATCCCTGATGGCGGGTCATGATGGCGTGATGGCTGACTAAAGCGTGATCCGTGATTATGTCCCTTCTCTGGGATATTAGTGTTGTTGCTCAGTGCTTTGAGCTTGTGAATTATGAGGGCTTGTCAAGCCCTAGGGCTCTAAGAGTGGTGAGGGCCTGTTGGGCCGTATAGGGCCCGACGGCCCGACCCGAACCCTGACAGAATGTAGACCTTTAGAGATGTATGACTTGTAAAAGGGATAAAACAAGCAAAACCTGAGGCAATAGTTATTCAGGTCTAATCTTTTATATTTATAAGATTATTATCAGTTGCTAATTAAACAAGCAGCCTATATTTAACACAGTATTAGGAGATCCACTTGATTGTAACTGAGGAGTAGAGTCTAAACAAGGGTTTAGTTAAGAATAAAGAGATAAGATAGAGGCTTGCTATATTAATACCCTAACTTGAAGGTTTTGATCATTTAACAAGAACTTCTAATATAAATAGGGTTACATAGGCAGCATTAGTACACAAAATCAGCAATACTTGGACATTAGATAAACAAGAAACAGACAAAGCCTTAAGGGCCTCTAAGATAGCTTCTATTATTAAATAAAGTAAAATAGAGCCTGAGGTTATTTTGCATAAGCTGATGCTATTAGACACATAATATATAACAGGATAGTAGGAGGGACCTGGGAAGAGATTATTATATTCTTGTTGGGTGATAATGGGCAGGGTGCTAACTGGATAGGCATTATAAGTTGTTGTACTAGGAAAGGGGAGAAGTCAAAAACAATGGGCTAGGGGATTATAGCGGACTAGAGCACATCTCCGCCGCTGCTGCAGTGTAATAATCTAATATCTGTCTTCCTTATAATATTCAGTGTGCTGCTGCTGATGTCTGCACTCTAATGATGTCATTCTTTTTTCCTTAGTATATATAGCCTGTATTAGGTAGAGTTTCAGAAAGAATCTATCTTTTACGCCTGTTCTTTACGCGCTCTGATCTGTGTGACGGAACTCCAGACCGGCTTCTGTTACAGGGATGTAGCCATACCTGTTTAAACACTTTTTAGAACGTTTTAGGTCAGGTTCTGAGACTTTAAGTCAGTGCAAGGGCCTTAATGCGGGAAACACCAGACACAAAACCACTATATAGGAGCAAACATGTAACAACAATAAAATAGATAACATAGACAACTTCTTAATATAATATCCCACACAGGGCCATTTGATCGATCTTGTGTTATAATCACTGCACCAATAGGGCCAAGGCTTAGTGGTGGATATGGCTCTGAGTATAATATCATCTCATCTCAAATAATCCACCTATCAATCCCAGATATCCTCACATATTAGCAGAGCGTCTGGGCCTATACTATGATATTTGCTCAGATAATTCTCCAATAATCCTGAGACTTGGAGTATTTTTTTTTTGTGTATACGACAGGTGTGGGGATGAATCAACATAATCTGATGTGATTGATGCTGTTTCCATATATGGTAACTTTTCCTGAAGGATACAAGTCAATATCTAAGATCAGGTATAAATAATTCTAAATAATTTTGATGTGGTAAGACTCAGACAATAAGATGTGACACTGGTATATGGTATGTGATGTCATGTCACAAAGAAGCTATCATCCCAATCTCTAATGTTATAAATAATAATAAATAATTGAAGTCTCTAGAGACTTAGGTAACAGGTTAGACTCACTGCCTAGGGACACACTGTTACTTGTGTGTCATGATGTGTGACAAATTTCCTAAAAAGGAAATTTTTGCCATTTGACTGTATAATCATTAGAGAATGTTACACATCGTCACAAAATCAAAGTTGTGTATTTTGACGATACAAACAACTTTCATTAAGTGACCTATGGTCACAGGTGAATAATTGTGTCAGCATTGACCAATCATTTGCTGATCTACACCTAATACTGTAATATATTACTAAGTACTAGTCCACCTCCTAGAAACTGATACCTTACCCCTCTAGCATATCTCTATTCTGGGTTATATAGCACCTAAGGCCTTTAGGAATTGACTAGCTCTAACACTTGTTCAATGGTAGGAAATGGGTGGAGGTGTAGGGCTTGGTTTATATAGGTGCTAGACTATCTGATGATATCATATCAACTTAGATCATAAGATTACATGTATGTAGTCCCAGTATATTAGCAAAATCCCGCTTAATTTAGTATTCAGGCATGCTTGACAGTGAATAGATCAAGGCAATGGTAAAACAACTTTCATTAAGACCTGATGCGCACAAGCCGCATATAAATAGTACATAACCCCTCATACCTGCATCAATGCTAAATAACTCCCGCTATATGGGCCTTGCTCTCGCCCACGCTGGCCTCGTCGCCCGTGTCGTCCACCGCGCTGCGCGCCAGCTTCGAGTCAAGGCCACGAATATCGTCGTCATTGTTAACCTGCACGATCTGGTGGACATCTGTGCGCGAAGGGTTAGCCCACGGGGTCGCCAGAAACAGATGCAAAAGAACACACGGATACCGCCAAACGTATCCAGCCGCGTCGCGCGATCACGATCTCGAGCGGTCCCCGAGGCGCCGCGTGAGCCTGAGAAGTGCTCGTCAGACGCGTCGCTCGGGTCGCCCGCGCCGCCCATCCGGCGCGTGGTGAGGTTGAACAGGAGCGTGCAGCCGTAGAGCCGGCCGAGAAAGAAGCCTGGCGCGAGGGAGAGGGCTGTGTTCGGCCACAGCGCGAATGTTATCAGCGTCACAGCGGCGACGACGGCGGTGGCGGAGCCGGTCTGGATCGCCCCTACGATAAGTCGGTGGATGATGCTACGCGTGCTCTTAAAATTGCTCTTGAAGCCGCGCAGGGTGATGACCAGCGCGCCTGCGACGCCAATGTCCGTCACAACAGACGCGATAAGCCATACCCTGTCGTTACATTGACTCAGACGAATTTAACTTAGAAAACTTGTTGAACGAACATGGAGATAGGCACAATCTTCTTTCTGTCGCTGGTGCTTCGGTGTACCATCGATAATATTCCGAGCCCAATGGCCCCGCTGACGGCGGTCAACGCTCCGAGTACCAGTATGCCGCAGATGACGTAGTTTTTCGACCTAGTGGGGAATGAGCGCGCACAAACACCACAACCAACGACCCACAGTATACCGTAGCGCCAGACGAGGTAAAGCTGGACAATGAAGCCACTGATACCGGACGTTATGCACTGTTTAGCGGTGAGCCTTTTCGGAGAGCGAACATGGTGGGGACTCACATAGACAGCCCCAGGCCACGCATTGTATGCAAGGTAGGCCATGTCACCCCAGTGGGTAACAAGCATCTGCAATCAGCCTCAGGCTCAGCGAACATGGCAGGCGCAAGGAGGTACATACCAGATAAGCGAAGGCCGAATCTCCTATCGTCCCCACGGTGTCAATTAGCAATTGCAAGGCGACGATCCAGCGCACGAAGGTGGTATTTGCGCCTGGCGAACGAACTTGTGGGTGATGTCAGTATGTATGGACCGGAGAACACGATGAAGACGGCGCACGGTGTTTGTTGGTATAGTACTCGTACGCGAGGAGCAGCTCCACCATGTATACCATGGAGTTGATCCATGTGCCGATGAGCGGGGGCCTAATCGGGTCAGTAGTGGTCTGTGGAACGCGAAAGAGCGGTCCACGCACGCAAAGACATCCTCCAGGAAAGCAGGCATTGGCGTGAAGGGAAATAAAATTTGCCGGAACCCACAAGCCGGCGACGGGGCCTATATACGAAGCCTGTCCGAGTCAGGGACAACTCGGCGTCTAGACTTTCTTAGGATTTGTCCCCTCCTCCTGACTGAGGGTGATGTCTTGTGCCTGAGACACATTTAGAAGCTCACTGGAGGTAACGAGGACTGGCCTCATTCTCTTAAGCCCTCTCGCATGCGACAAGGAGGACCAATTGGGGCGACGAGGGCACGAAAGAGAGGCAGAATGCGGATGTTCTGGTGTTTCGCGATCGATCGTCCGTGGCAGTGGTGATTCGAAGTGACGGAGAGGAGAGTGAGGACATCCCAAGGAGATCGACATGCTTCGACATGGCGGTCAAGAGTAAAAATGCGGAGTGTGGGAAAAACTCGGCGACAGGACCGATGGCGGCAGCTTCGGCCGAAAGAATGGCACATGTGAGCTTCGACTCTCGAACGGATTCAGTGGCATGTGGACTTCTAAGACCATTTACTGAGCATCTCCATGTCGCATGTGGTTGCACGCATTGTATATGTACAAACCCTTATAATTACACAATTGGTTGCGGTGTTCGGGACTCGAACAGACGACGGTCAAACGATGGTAACGCAAAATAGTTTTGTTGATGATCACATGCGCTTAGTCACGATGACTCACTTGCTTTCACTCTTCCACGACTGACGACATGGCTCTTCCTGAGCCCCGTCTCCCGCCCGAATTGGAGCGCGAAGTCTTCGAGCTGGCTGCCATCTCCGACCTCGCATCGATTCCTATGCTTTCACTCGTCGCCCGTCGCGTACACCATTGGCCGGTCTTCTCATTTGCCCACCTTCAATTCCGCTTATCCGCCCGCAGGGTAACGCCGTTCGTCTTCTACGTCGTCCGTCTGAATCACTCGCGGCATGCCGCCGCCTTCGTTGCCGAAATCCGCCGGCAGCCCGCGTCGTACTTCGTCCACGTAAAGCACGTCCTTATGGAGTCGACCGGGCACTGGAAAGTGGCGGATGTGCTCCAGATCCTCGACAAGTGCCGTGGCCTGCGCAGCGTCGGGCTGACGTATCTATTCCAGCAGCCCGACGTTCTTCGCGGACTGGCGCCGCTGCGCATCCAGCGCTTGACCGCGACGCTCAGCCACCTCTTCCCCGGAGAACCTGGCGCCATCGACCCGCGCCACCCGGCGCTGCAGCACGTGACGCATCTCAGCCTGCATGATGGTATCAGCTTCCATGACACAGGCCACAGCGATGGAAGCATCCTTGCTCGCGTCTGTCGCGCATTGCCCGCCGTGCCCTGCCTGACACATCTTCGCTTCAACTTTGCCCCCACCCGTCCGGGAATCACCTTCATACAGCACCTCCTCCGTGACTCTCCGCGTCTGCAAGTACTCTTGCTCGCGCAGGTCCGAGACACAGAGCTGGAGGCGAATTTGGCGGATCGGAGGGTTGTCATTGATTACTTCTCCACGGAGCCGCATTTGGAGCCAACGTACGCAGGGTTCTGGAACGACTGGGAGCGCGGCGTGCGTCCTGGCCCAGAGAAGGACATGTGGACGCAAGCAGAGGAGGTCGTCAGATCGCGGGAGCGCAACCCCGAGAATGGCAAGCAGTTCCACCCCCTCGTCCGTTCCAGCCACTGATTTCTGCACAGCGAAGTCCCATTAACGTGTCTTCGAACCCATTTGCTACTATTTGAGTGCCCGGCATTACGCTGAGGCCTGCCCGAATTCGGGCTCGTCGAAGTTTCGAGGTCTCCACTTGGACATCTTGTATTGCGTTCCGGCCGGGAAGCCGTATTTGCACGTTTCCGAGTCACCATTGCAGTGAACGGCGCCAGCCGCCAGGGAGCCAGCTCCTCGGTCTATAAATGGAGTGGCGCCGTGAATAATTCACTGGTATGCCGTTCCGTCGCCGTTCTTAGACGTCTTAGTCATTGGGTATGAGGCGAGATGTCAAGATTCGGTCCGTCTGACCACACAGAGTTGACGACGGTCTCGTTCTTTGTCTGGCTTCGGGAGATCTACACGAACGCCGCCGATCAAGAGCCAATGGCAGCGCGCGTCGACGGCGGACGTCATTCGAGGAGGTCAGCCCGCGAGGTAATTAAGTCTAGCGTCCCCGAGAAGGTTGATCGCGACGTATTTAGCTGGGCCGGCAATGGCGAGGCGCCAATCACATTCGTGGTTCTCTCTAGCCCGAGATTATCACCGTGAGATCGTGGACCCTGGTCCGTGCCCACACCAAGTTGGAAGGTGCCACCGCCCGCGGTCGGCCTGCCTGTCATGCGCCATAAATATGCAGTTGGAGCGCCCTTTGCTCCCCTCTTCCACACCACACGGTACTGCCCATGTTTCAAGCCACGCACGCTGCTGGTTCCAGCCGCGCGGGGTATGGTGTTGCACTCCCAAGCATACACGAGGTCCTTCCCCCCGCATCTCCTCCCTCGCCGACTCCAGCTGGCCACCCCTGCTGCGCTGGCTCTCCCGCAAACGTTCGCCATCCCCGCCTCGCCGCTCACCAGCGGCACCAAGTCGCCACGGTCATCGCACTCGAGCCAGGAAGACGACCAGAGCGAGGGCGAGGGCGACCTGCCGCCGCTCAGCGACGATGAAGAAACGCGACGACACGTCTGCCAGATCTGCCGCCGGCGCTTCAGCCGCCCAAGCAGCCTCAAAACCCACCAAAACACCCATTCTGGTGCGACGCGTGAGTGGCCGCAGCTTCCCGCCCGCTTCTTTGGTGTCCGTTGTTCTGCCCTTCGGGAGACCCGCGGAAGCTCGCACATTCCGTGTATCCGCATGGCGATGTGAGGGCATCACGTCTTCTGGCACCTCGGGCGCACGGCCTGACAGGCCGACCCGTCAATCGCCGTCACCTCGCGCGGATCGACGATGGGCCTGCGCGCCGCGGCGTCCGCGATGGCGCAATAAGAAGCGCGGTGACAGCTGACACGGCCTGGGCGCGCCTGCCAGTGATCCGCGTCCTCGCCCTCCCATGCTGTCCACCCTTCTGCTCCACCCCTCCTCCTCCATTGCCCGTCGGCTGATCCGCTTCGCAGCATACCCGTGCCCGTTCCCCGGCTGTGGGCGCCAGTTCAACGTCAAATCGAACATGCGCCGGCACCATCGCAACCACGCGGCCCCCGCAGCCTGAACCGACCCCGCGTTATTTTTGGAGCCGCGTCGTGGTTCGGCCATAGAATGCAGGATTTTGTATATCAATAATGATGATCTATATTTACGACGCTTTACAGATGACTGTATACATCTTCCCAGTTACCCGCTGCCTAGACACCCTGTATTGTACTTGCTTTTTCCCTCCACAACATGAAATTTGCATTCATCCATGACCTCGCTTGATGTTTTCGGTGTCCCGCTGCGGCTTCACAATCCCGCGAGAAAAGGTGTCATTTTCAAGATATTATTAGATTATGTAGTCAGTCACACTAGGCTCGATTCTCAATACTTACTGCACCATTTCACCTGTGCACATGTACACCAACACGACATGTTGTCTGACTCGTTCAATCGTCACCATTGTCTCCCTCCTGGTCCGCACCGTTGACACGCCGATGGGCCTCGCGCTGCACCCGCCACTCCGTCGAGCTCCTCACCTCATCCACCATCCGCTGCGCCTGCCACACCCACGTCTCCCCCCCGCCCGACCGCCGCGCGGCACATCTCGCGCCAGCGCCGCAGGTACACCGGCGCATTCGGCCGCCGGAAGTCTGCGCTGATCACCGGCGCGTCCGGGGCCGTGGGGTCCTCGTTCAGGAGGCGGATGTGGTTGTAGAGCCAGCCGAGATGCAGGAGCTCCTCGAGCCCGATCTCGGTCGTCATCACCCGGTGGCGCCGCAGCAGCGGGAGCCACGCGTCCTGGGCCGTCGCCGGCTCGAGCTTCGCTCCCGTGACCACGGGCGTTCGCTCGGGCAGCGGGAACCGGGGCGGTGGCCGGACGATCCGGGGCCGGCGTGTCCATTCCGGCGCGTACGAGTTGCCGTTGAGGATGCACGTGCTGAGCGTCGGCACCAGGTCGCCGTAGTAGCAAACGCGGGCAAACTCGTCCACGAAGTCGTTCGCCTTGTCCTCGTCGACTTCCAGATCGGGATTGTACTCCACATGCGGAGGGAGGAGCTTGAGCGAGACCAGGTGGTGCAACGCCGGAAGGGCCTCCACGACGGTCGCTTCGAAGGCCTGAGCAACGCATGAGACATGTCGGACGGAGCAGAGTAACACACATTTTGGTCTTCCCACTCCTCGAAGTCGTAGTCGTCGAGAAGGAACACCAACTCCTCGATGTACCACGCGTGCTTGGCAATGGCGGGGAACAAGCCCGCATCCACGGCCCGCAAAGCGTTGGTCAGCGACTTCGGGAGGCTGCCCACTTTCTGTAGTGCGAGCAGCGCCGCCGTGCAGAGCCCCTCTCCGGGGATCCAGTCGATTGACACGTGCTGGAGCGACGGAAGGCTGTTCGGCCGAAGCATCGTCACAGTGCGGGAGGGCGCGGTGAGACATTCCAAGGCGGGAAGGAGCGGGAGTTGCACATCATCGGAATGCCAACTGAGGTGGAGTTCGACGAGGTGGGGTGCAGAAAAGGAGGGTCCGCTATGCTCGCGACTGTGTTCCAGGCATGGAGAGCGGGGAACGAGAGCCCCGACTGTGTGATGATTTTGGCGATGGGGAAGCACCTGGGCACATATATCTCTTTGATGTGAATCGCATGCCTGAGGCCCGCAATGATAAGGCGAGAAAAAGCGCCGAGGAGTCTCCGTCTGACACTCCCGTCCAGTCCACGGCTTCCGTAGCGGATGAGACACAGGCTAAAGCCAACGTTGACGACGCACATGTAGAGCCTCCGAATAGCCCGCGCCCGCTCCGGCCGCCGCCGCAGGACGTCGAAGCAGCGCACGATTTCGCGCGGCGAGCGCAGCCGGATGTCGCGGTAGATGAGGCGCTGGCCGACGGCGTGGAACGCCTGGCTGGTGCATGCCAGAGTCAGCAGCGCATCGTGGTCCGCCTCCACGGCGATGTAGTGCAGCAGCTCCACCGGCAGCGCGGGGACCCTCATGGGGGAACGAAAGAGGAAAAGGGTGCACAGCATTCTTGATGGAATCCGATCATCATGCGGCGGATATCAGATCCGCCAACAGGGTGAACCTGAAACAAATCACTGCGTTGGCTGTCTGTCACACTGAGGTTTCTGCCAAAAAATGGGCCCTGAAGTAGGATTATATTGACAACTTGGAAACATAACAAATAAAATCCCAGGAAAATAGACTTGATTTGTAAGGAATAATGCTAGCTGATCAACATTATTAATTATAAGTCCTGTACATTATCTATAATATTAAAACACTACCGTGCCGGCATTGACAGAAAGTCACGCAAAAAGTGATGCGTTTTGATTGATGGCACGTGAAATTCATGTGACCACCCCCCCCCCTCGGATACCGCCCGCCGGCTGCGAGCCGCAGGCGAGCGGCCGTGCGGGCGCTGCAACCACCTTTTGCCCATGCCGAAGGCGCGGGTTAGTATACTTGTATATAGTAAATTATCACCTGTACCACAGGTTACTGAGAGAAAAGAGGTATGAAGGCAACCCTTTCAGCTAGAATGTAAGGCTGGAAAAATTTATATCATGCCATCAAAAATATCACATGTTTAGTTGCCTGGTTTATAAACCAGTTTATAAACACCAGTTTATAAACACCAGTTTGGGAGACTGAAAATTATAAACCATTTTTAAATACTCAAATATTTAAAAACTGCACCCTAAAGGAATTGGAGGATATATCATAAGATCTAAGACCATATTTTAATCAAAGATCAGGGGCAGTACCAAAGTGTACCTAATGTATCACAAACAAGTGACAAATTGTCATCACATATGACATATCACCTGCATATATGACAAATAGGGTAATAAAAATGTGACACTATTTTTTGATAAATATTTGAGCTTGAATAAGGTGCACTGATTGTCGACAAAACATGGTCGCGAAGGGTAGTTGCAGTGTATGCTATATTTGATACCCTGATTCAGAAACTTAATGTCTTGTATCAGACTGGTCTTGCATTGCAGTTCTAACTGTACATACAGATTACCATCTATGTTGTGTAAGAGCATGTATAGAGCTGAAACTGGCCTTCAATCAATTAATGCATACTGTAGTATTTTGAAAGTGTCCTGCAATTTTCCATTGTTTTGTGCCCAAGAAGGCTAAAAAAAATTGAATTTTGATGTTAGCAATTTTTTTCTAAGGAGTTTTTTTTGGCTGTGTATCTCAGGGGAACCCCCACTTCGGCCTCCTTCGGACCGTCCAAGCACATCCGAGGCGCATCCGACGGGCACCCCCTCGGACGCTCCAACCTACCCTAACCCTCGTCCTTGGCCTCCTTTGCCCACACAATCACTGATCCGTCAAGACCCTCCCAACGATCACCTTGGGACAGAGCCTGCGACGCTGCTCAGGCCTTCTGCGCTCTACGTCGGCAGTTACGGACGACCAGTATATAGTTGGCGCCCTAGCAGGCGGACCCTTAGAGTTTCTTCTCTTTGGATCCTCCCCTGCTAGGTCGGTCCCTCCATGTATTTCCGTAGCTTCTATTCACGCTTTGGATCCTCCCCTGCTAGGCTTTCATCGGAGTCTCCAGGGTTGCCCTTACAGTGTAACATGTAACACAGACACTTGATTGACATACTATGGCATTGTATAACATAGATACCAGTGTCACATCTTGTTGTATGAGTAAGCCTAGCAATCTATAGTGGGTACTGTAAGGGTGAGATCAAGGATGAGTCGCCCCTTGGAGAAGTTCTCCCACTGCTGTCTGGGACCATTCAAGGCACTGTCCCATTTCGATCAACTGTCCGGGGCATATAACGCATAATGCAAGCTGTCCGCCGGACAAGCAGCTACAGACAAGCAGTATATAGTCGGCTACCTAGCAGGCAGACCCTTAGAGCTTCTTCTCTTTGGATCCTCCCCTGCTAGGACCTTGATCTCAGGCCTCCGGGGTTGCCCTTATAAATCTATTGAATGATTTGAATGTCATCCCATTTGGCCTTTTGCTTGTTTCCTTATATACTTTAGATGTTTAGTTTGTTTTCTTTATCTTGTGTATGTCTTCTTTTTCCCCTTACTATGCCCTTATACTTATTATAGGTGTACTTTGGTGCTGGCCCCCATTGTTTATATATGTGGTCTTATATCTTGTAGCATATTTGGTGCATTAATTATAGCCGCAAAGTTGTCAGGTGATATTGCACACTGGCAATTTGGGCAAAAAGGGCCACTCGAAGCTGGATTTATATGGCAAGGATCCAGTGCCAAAAATGACAGGCTGATTGCTGCTAAATCAAGGCCCTGGATATAGTTGCACTGGGGAATTACCTTATTTGGTAATGTTCTGGTCATATGCATGGAAATCAAGGGCCTTGGTTTGCAAACAATCAGGGGTATTGATTTTGACAGACATTTGTCACATAAAAATCCTGCTTCCAGTGGCCTTTTTTTCTTTGAATTTCCAGTGTGATTTAGGGCCTTGTTTTTATTAGGGTGTTTTGAAACCAGGTTTAAAACACTCCTGTTTTATTTGTTTCTCAACACCTTCTCCCAGAATGCCCTGTTTTTAATGTTTGTATTAGTAAGCATCCAAGAGGAGGTGAACGCTCTTGACAATGTTTCTGGCCAAATCAGAACTAATTGTCCTGATTTTGTTATAAACTTCATCCTGTAGGACAAGAAGAGGGTGCTATCCGCTGCTGTTGATATGATCAAATAACCATCAAGACGATCAAACTTTGATATATAGTAAAAATAGCCTTTTTTTCCAAGCTAATATAAGGCACCATGGATACTAAAGCAGATATCCTAAAATCAAGGGGCATCATGATGTGACAATCTGACTACATGCTGGGTGGTTGGTCACCCTGGGAGGGCTTAAAATAATTTCTGTCAATGATTATATTTAGGTTTTATTAGGCTAATAATGGGCTGGGTAAATGCACAATAGCCTCAGAATGCTTGCTTGACCATTGAATAGGCCTTGGAACTTGTTGGAAGTTCTTTGCAAGCTGTACCATAATCATAGGCCAAAGGGAAGTGCATGTGCCAGCTCTATCAAGCTTCTCATTGGCCAAAAGCCACCATGTCAGAATGAAGAACAACAGATTGCAAAACCATGGTCTGTCCTACCTGTCACAATCCTGCTAGTACTGCCAGTGAGTATAGACTGGCAGTCCAGCTTGTGACAGTAGCAACTGGAGCGGCATTGGTGGCCTTGGGGCAGAAAGATGATGTCCATGTTCTTGGGACTTTGGGAAGGGCTCCCTGCCCAGAATGCAGAGACTGAAAGTGCTATGGAACTGTGCTTAACAGACATGTGTGATCAAATATTTCCTTTTATGGTATATCTTATCTTATCCGCCATTCACATGCCCCCTTGCCTAAAATGGAAAATTTGGTTCATTTTGGCAACTTGAATCTCAGTGAAGGTGTTTATAAACTAAAAAAAATGGTTTAAAAACAGGGGTCTGAGAAGGTTTTTTATAAAACAGGTTTGATAACCTAGAAATTTTTTTAAAAACCAGGCCCTGTGATTGGCTCTAAGTCAAGTCCAATCTGATGACTTAATATATGCTCCAATTTCTTATAAATCAAGTTATATTATCTTTCCAAGTTGTTAAAATATATATCTTTTTTTTGGCTACTATTTATCATCAATAAATCCCGCTTCAGGGCCCATTTTTTGGCAGGAACCCCGGTGTGTCAACCACCGGTCTGCTTGGGTGTTGTATACTTGTGCCTGGCTGTCGGACAGCCGGAATGCGGCTGTTGAGCGGCATTTGCGCATTTACGCAATAATGCAATCAATCACACGTCATGGGGCTGGCGAATAGCCGGAATGGCGTTTTCTTCTTTGCCTCCCACTTCCACGTTGTGCGACCGCTGCATCGACCCCTTCCTGCGTCCAAGGCAGGCAGACTGTCATACCTCCCGTAGATGTGCGGCCCGCGGTCTCGACTATGACGGACGGTGGCGCGACGCATATGCCCGCGGACGTGCACCAGCAGATGTGAGTCCTACGACCATATGCATTGCGTGCGCTGCTAAACTGTCGTCTCGCAGAACCCTCAACCACTACATCAACATTGCCGCCTTCAGTAAGTCCCGCCGGCCCCACAAATTCAAGCTCCGACGCATTCCGCAGCGCTGCTTTTTTACGACTACCTGCTTACGCTCGAGTGGGAGGTGGCGCGGTACTGGGCGCCACTCGTCCGGACCCGAGCCCGCGCAAGTGTCCCCAGCGTGCTGTTCTTCGTCAACCGCTATGCGACGCTGTTGGGCAACGTGCCCGTCGTGGTGCTGCAGTTTTGGGGTGCAAAGCCGGGGGAACGGAAGCTAAAAGTGCGTGTCGACAATTGGATATCTGGACTGAGCTGACTGGCTATAGTTGTGAGTCCTCGCCGCTGCTATAACTCTCTCTCCCAGATTCATCCGCTCATTCAGCTGCGACGACCTCGAAACGTATCATCGCTACTTCGTACTGGTCGTACAGGTATTCGTGGGAGGTATGCTTCAAGGCTCAGGACTGTCAATGTACAGTGCTCAAACTACCGATAGTCATGCTTCTTCTCCGCACATACGCGCTCTATGACCAATCCCGGTCCGTCCTCGTCGGCATGCTTGCGTTTGGTCTCATTATGGTTGCCGTCGGCCTAGTGCGTCCGCTTGTCCCTTAGCGTGGCTCTCACTGAATACCTTTTTCTGCAGTGGGGCGGACTCCACACGACCCCCGGAGAGGCGGGCAAAACGTTCGCGCTGCAGACCGGCTGTGCGCGAAGCATCCCATCCAGCGAGTACATCTAAATCATATCCAGCTACTTCGGATTTTACTGACCTGCGCGCAGAAGTACGGGCTTGATAGTCGCATGGTCCGCGATGGGCCTTTTCGACTCTATGATCTTCGCGCTGACGCTGTATCGCACCGTCGTTTCGCTCGGCGTGCGTGGAGTGGGAGTAGGCCGGATAAGGGGCAGCATGGGGCTGGTTGGTATCCTGATGCGCGATGGCGAGTCCTGTTGTCTTCCAGTTGAAGCAAGTACTGAAACAAAATCTAGGGTGTCTGTATTTCGGGTATGCCGTTCGGGTCCGACATGCCAGTGGACGCTGACTGCTGCCAGCGTTATGATCCTCTGTAACATTGGGAACATTGTCAGTTTTGCGGTGCGTATCTGCTGCTCTACAGTAGAAGCCCGAAACTCATCGTGTTCCAGGTCGGGGAGGTACGCTAAGTTTCCTTCGGCCTCCCGAACTTATAAAGAGCCCAGGACTTTACACGTGGCATCCTCGATACTTTCACCAATATGTCCGTCTGCCAAACTTCATATTTTCACGGCTTATCACCCAGTAGCGTTTCGTCTATCATGATATCGCGATTGATGCTGAACATCCGCGACCCTGCTGTCTCGAGGCACGCCACTCCCGTCGGCACGCATCGCACGCATACAACTGAGGACGGTGTGAGCCTAGAGACGGGGCTGTTTTCGACGTATTGGGATGCAGATTCGAGAGTGACTGTCCCCAGCCGCGTCGCACCGTAGAACATAGAGTAGGTAATGTACTAATACGTGGACTTTGCAGAGACTCGGAGACGCAAATACATAGATCATATTCCTCACATGATTCTGCCGATCATTGAGGCAGTGTTATCACAGGTTGTTCCCAGACCACCACCACAAATGAGCGCCGACACGGACATGGCCGTGGCTCAGACGTCGGGCAGTCCGGATCTTAAGCGCGCTGAAGGTTTGTACTTCCAGGATTGCGGGCTGATCATCCGCGCGGACGACACCCTATTTCGCGTGTCTGGCCAATATCTGGCGACACACTCGGCATTCTTTCGCGACATGCTGTCCATTCCCGTCCCGGCCGACGCCGAGAAGATTGACGGGTGTCTAGTGGTGGCGGTCTCGGACTCGGCGGGAGACATGGCGGCGTTTCTGCGCGGGATAATGTACCCAAGGTTCGCACGCCGGTTTCCGCACACAAGTCCCTGCTGAGTCATAATTAGTTTCTTCGAGTCCCCGCCGGCTGCGGTTACCTTCGAGAAACTGCGGCCTGTCCTCCGACTGAGCCACAAATACGACGTTGGCTGGCTGCAGCGGCGCGCGCTCGCCCATCTCGCTCGTACCCACCCGACCACGCTGGATGATTGGTACACGCTTACGGCGATGCCCGCGTCATTCGTCAACGGCGCCAGCGCCGAGCTCTGCATCGAGATCATACTCATCGCGCGTGATTTTCGGCTCGAGTGGCTCCTCCCGATGGCCTTCTACCGCCTCACACGCTCCAAGAGCTCCCTCCCCGTGCTCGCCTCCGACCTGTCGCTGGCGGACAAGCGCCGCTGGGGCGATGCCGTGCGAAAGCTCGACCTCGAATGGCGCACGCAGGCGCTCGACTTCCTCTGGCAGCCGCGGCAGATTACGCAATGCACCAAGCCGGCGTCGCCGGCCGCCGCCTGTCCCGAGACGCGTTTGGCCTACCGGAAGCGCACGGAGCAGATGCGGGAGTCGCCGAAGGAGCAGTATGTGATGCCGCTCGACCTCTGGGGCGAGGCGTGGTGGAAGGCGATGGCGGACATGCATGTCTGTGGCGGGTGTTTGGGGGAGATGCGCCGCCTGAAGCGCCTGGCAGACGAGGCGTTCTGGGAGGCGCTCCCGCGAATATTTGACCTGGGTGACTGGGCAACGCTGGAGGCCAGGAAGGCCCAGACATTTAGTGAAGATGTCTCGGGTTGAACTTTGGTCAGACTGGGGCAGCGGGGCTACAGGCCACCTGAGTAGCACAGTTGTTCAAGTTTTGTATGGCTTCTATTCCTCCTAGTCCTACTCCTACTCTTTGTGTCATTCCTTGCTTAGGTCTAGAGCAATACAACTGGCAGCAGCTGAAATGAAGCCTTTAAGGTAACCCAAACACACCAGATTTGGTAAAATATCCCTTAAAGTAGAAACTGTTCTAGATTCTGGTAGAATCTAGAACCAAATCAACCTATGGAGATTTGCCCAAAATATACATTTTTGAAACTGAGAATGATTTTAGTCAAATATATACTAGTTTTAGACAGTCTGAGATGAAAACTATCTATGGGACTGAAACCATTCCTGAAATGGTTGATATCTGTGCACATATATTTGGTCATGATATCACGCGCATCAAATGTGGCGAAACTGACAGTGAAACAAAGGATTTCACTGACAGTTTCAGCACAGATGATACAAAGGAAATCAGCAGTGGAGAAATGTCACGGATAAGACCCGGCCCGTCCGCTCCGGCGCTGGTGTCGGGCCATTGCGGGCCCGTAACACGCAGCACGTGACGACGGGGAACATGCGCCCCGGAAGGCACACGTGGGAAGCACGTGACCGAGAACGACGCGTCGAGCCGTCGCTGAGCCCAACTCGACACAAGGGGACTGGGGAGGAGTGCTAGGAGGTCAGGAGTAGCGCCTGGCCCGCAAGGGATGTACGATCGTCCCCTCTGCGGCCAGGAACGGGAGCGAGGAGGAGGAGGAGAGGCCAGGGTGTCCGATCACCCCCTTTGCGGGCCCGCGTATATAAGGCGCGATAGTGTACCCTGTACTCTATCGCTTAGATCGTCTGAAGAACTACCTTACTCCATGCGAGGAGACGCTATCGACTCATCGGGCCCGACACGACCCGATTCGAACCTTCGACCACCGACTACGGCAAGGGACCGAGTTCACGGGCCCTTTCGGTTTCGATCTACCCCGCCCGCCGTACTTGCGGGCCCGACTATCCGTCTGTTCTGTTCCGGGCGCGCGTTCTTAGGAGAAGTCCTTGCACATCCCGACCTGCAGTCTGACAAGAAATGCACATAGATTCTCTTTGTTTCTATTTGCATTTCTCCACTGCTGAAACTGTAGGTTTACAGTACAATGAAATCATTGTTGAAATCTCAAATTTATTCATGCCAGAAATTGTGATTAAAATTGTCAGTATATACATTGGAGAAATTGTAAGAGATATTATATGTATATCAGTGACTTGAGAGTCAACCCTCAAGTTAACCCTCAAGTCAACCCCAAGGGTCTGACCTCCAACTTTCTAATAAATGTTACCAGATTGTAGGGACCCTTAATACATGTTACTATTCAGTTTAGACCTATGCTTCAAAGTCAATGGTTGAGTCAGAAAATGCAAATTACTGACTCAACCCTGAGTTTTCAAAATAGTGGTAGGGTCATATCTTAATGAGTTCTTATCTGTTCCTAACATGTTATATATGAGCAGGAAGGTATTCAATTGGCCTATAAACTGGTATTCAATATCTTATCAGGCACATGGGGTGGGGGGAGGGGGATATGAAAGATTTGAGCCTTATATGGGAATAAAGAACCTGAAAATATAGTGTATACTCTAATTTCTATAGTTCTCAACCCTTATACTTACATCTAAGTATATACTTTCAGGCCCATGACAAGGGGGGTTCAAATTCAAAACATGGATATAGGGTCGGAAAGTTTTTTTCCAACCCTCTGGGGACCCCCCCCCCCTCACCCTCCTGCCATATAAGGTAATATGTTCCCATGATTCACGTCATGTGACCACTGATGTGATCAAAAAGTGGGATAAAAATTCCATCTTTGTGAAACTTTTTTCTTTGTGCAAAAACAATTATGTATGAATATGTGCATATGTGTAGGTCTGGAACCTTTAAACACATGATAGGCCTATGACAGGGTGGGCTATCCATTTTTCACCTAGATGCAAAGTTTGAGGCTTGAGAGGAGAGAAAATCTCCCCAGGGCTTTGCCACTGCCGATGCAAAACACGTCCACAAATGTAGGGTAGTGTCAGGGGAACCTCCCTTTCGGCCCGGAGACGCGCCCGATTCCGGTCCGACTCCGGTTCCGACTCCGGTCCGGCCCTCCATCTCGCCCGCACAATCACCGATCCGTCAACGCCCTCCCGACGGTCGCCCTGGGACCTCGCCTGCGACGCCGCCCAAGCCTTCTGTGCCCGACAGCGGCAGCTACGGACAAGCAGTATATAGTCAGCTACCTAGCAGGCGGACCCTTAGAGTTTCTTCTCTTCGGATCCTCCCCTGCTAGGTCAGCTTCATTTGTATTCACTTACCAATGTTCACTCTTCGGATCCTCCCCTGCTAGGACCTTGATCTCAGGCCTCCGGGGTTGCCCTTACAGCAGAAGAAACTCTCTACGGGATCAACCGGACAAGATTGCCAGGTTCGGCGCTGACTCAGGCTCGGAGTACGAGTCCGTTCCGCCCTCGTCACCGCCCCTGCCACTTGTCCCCTCCTCCTCTACTCCTGTGGTCCCCGCACCCGTCATGCCGTCCGGAGTCACTCCTACCGCAGACGCCCGGCTGGACTCACTCGAGGCGAAAATTGATAGCCTAACTGAGGCCCTTGCTTTACTCACCAACCAGGCTTCCGCTGCCGCTGCCGCCGCTAATAATGCTGGCGGACCCCAAACACCTTCGCCGGAGACGTCGATTCCGACTCCGACTCCGGTCCAGGGCGACTCGAAGCCCTTTTTGGCGACATCAACCTCGCCTCAAAATTGGTCTTGCGACCAAACCCCCCGTTCACCTTCAACGGCGACCGGAAACGCGGCCGCGCGTTCCTCTCGCGGTCCGCACCTCGCCCCGCCTTGCCCCTGAGGCCTTCGTGGTCAACGGAGAGGCGAGCGAGGAAAAGGCCGTCCGCTATGCCATGTCGTTTATGGCAGAAGGACCCGCTCAGCAATGGGCGGAGCGCCACGGAAGCAAAGCCCCGTTTCCGTTTCCGTCCTGGGGCTTGTTCGTTTCCGAGTTCCGACTCCGGTTCGTCGAGGAGAATGAGCAAGATCATGCTCTCTCCAAACTGGAGACTTCCGCCTATCACATGGGCACAAAGGATGTCTACCAGTACACCGACGACTTCGAGGACCTGATGGACCTCGCCGGATTCGAAGACGCGTTGGTCAAGGTGACCAAGTTCCGCCACGGACTTGACCCCCTGATCAACAACGGAATCATGTCCTCGAACGACCCCCGGACCTCCGGGACTACCTTAGCTGGCGCACCCGGGCTTTCCGTCAATACGAGGCCCTGGTCCGGGCCAAGCTGATCAAGTCAGCCGCCCCCAAGACGCCTGGCGGTTTGATTCGGACTCCGTTTCCGGTCAACCGCATCCCAGCTCCGGCCCCCTTCCGCCCGGTGGCTCCGGTCGTGCCCCCCGCGGCCCGCGCCCCCCGCTCCGGCGCCTCCAGCTCCCGTCCCAATGGAGTTGGATTGCACCAGGGCTCGGGGTGCCCCTCGCCGCGCCTGCTTCAGGTGCGGCGACCCAAACCATCTCGCCCGGGATTGCCCCCTCCCCGCCGATGTCCGCTCGATGGACATCCTCGACGAGGTGATCCAACAACTCGGTGACGAGATGTTAGCGGAGTTGATCGCCCGCTACACGGACACAGCTGCCCTGCCGGAGACGGCAGCGGAGTCGATGGCCGGAGAGGATTTTGTCCCCGCGACGAGTGACTGGTGTGCCCTCGTTCGCGTCTATAAATCGTTTTGCCTCTTTGTATGATGAATGCAGTTCCTTGCCCTACAATGAGCCCGAAACGAAAGACACACCCTCTCCTGCCCCCGCCTCGACTCCGTCTCCGACTCCGCCCGCGACTCCGGTCATCGTCCTTCGCCGCCTCACTGCCTGGGAAAAGAAACTGCCCAAGCAGTACACTGTCGCTGCTTCCCCTGGAGTGAACTCCCTCCACCTCCCGTTGGAGCTAGAGTCCACTACCAGCGCTTAAGCTCTCGCTCTCTGGCCTGGTTGACTGTGGTGCCACCTCCGACTTTATCGACACGAACTATGTCGCCGGAATGGCATTCCGGTCCGCACCCTAGCGCAACCGATTCCGGTCTTTAACGTTGATGGCACTCCGAACGACGCCGGCTCCATCAACCAGATCGCGGACTTGGTCTTACGCTACAAAGGCCATTCCGAGCGTGTTCAACTCGCCGTCACCCATCTTGGCAAGCAAGACCTCATCCTGGGGTATTCCTGGTTGCGGAAGCATAACCCAGAGATCAATTGGGAAACCAAGGAGGTCAAGATGACACGGTGCCCCCAATTGCTCGACCTGCCGTGAGGAAGAGCGCGTCGAGCGGACCGAGCTGCGGCGACTCCGGTCGCTTCAGAAGCGTCTCCGCTCCAGCCCGTTCCCCTCGGTTTGCACTATGGACCTCTCTGGCCCTGAGGACGGAGATGATTCCGATTCCGGTCTCGATTCCGACCTGCCTGATCTGACGCCGGACTCGGACTCGGATGACGAAGATGACCAGCTCGAAGATGGTGACCGCATCTTCTACACCTCGTTCCGTCCCTCAGAGGAGATACGCGCAGGTAGCACCGTCTCACAGCGTCTGGCCGAAGCCTTCGCCAAGAACTCCGCCCCACCGCCCTCCGAGATCCCGGACTGGGCTAAGGAGTTCCAGGACGTCTTCAACAAGGAGTCCTTCGACACGCTACCGGAGCGGAGAGCCTGGGACCACGCCATTGAACTCGTCCCCGACGCTAAGCCCACCAACTGCAAGGTGTACCCCATCTCGCCCCTCGAGCAACGCGAGCTCGACGCGTTCATCGAGGAAGGGCTTTCGACGGGCCGGATTCGCCCCTCCAAGTCTCCGATGGCGTCTCCGGTCTTCTTCGTCAAGAAGAAGGACGGCGGACTCCGCTTCGTCCAGGACTACCGTGCTCTCAACGCGATGACTGTCAAAAA